TGGAAAAGTTGTGAGGGCGATTATATTTGCTTTGAATGGTGATACTCGTCCAATGACAGAGAAGTAAGTATATAGTCAGGGCAATATCTGGAACACGGAGTGCGACTTCCGGGCGCATGTATTCCTAATCAATATGCACTTTTTTATAAGCCAGGTGCCGCCGCGAATTAATGCTAATTCTACTGAAATTTAACCCTGTTTCCGTAGTAACCAACACGCACATCCTGGTCTGATTACGCCACTACGAGTGCTCAGATTTGTCATTTAATACAGCAACACGTTTAGTTTGGTCCGCAGCAAAAAACATATTATTACTGACGACTACCACATAACCAGTTCTATCTGAAACCTCCACTGTATTACTGAGTAGTTCAGTGCGTTTACGTTTACGGTGAGTAATTTAATTCATTCAATCGCTGAAGTTTTCATAGTTTGACCACATTCGTTGTTATTTGATTGTATCATTTTCAAATTGTGTATTTTCCTGGAATTAAACGTAGTTTTATTTCTATATCGGTTCCAGTTCAATACATTTCACGTTATTTTTATCATGTCCAGCATCCCTGTAGTACACGTCGTTCTAGATTTAATTCAGTCACCCGACACTATAGGTCACTCTTTATACATAACAGAAAACCACTGCGTCTGTTCGTATAATCAAAGACAGTATCAGGACTTTCAATTTTGTTTTCAGTATTTTGTTGTATGTACATGAAATATATCAAAATCAGTATACGAGAGTTATATTTATCTACCTGGCAACACAGATTTATTTTCTTTATGGCTGGTGTAAATATCGCGAACTCAATCCGATTGTGAATTCGTGAATTGGAAACCGTTGGTACATTGGGCTTATTATCAGACATTTTGGTCACACCAAACACGACCATACTCCAAACAACAACACTTTGTTTAATATTCGATATTACAAATTGTGTATTTCACTTTTCAATTACAGAAACTCATCCATTTGTTATTATTTCCTAATGGAGCGCCGTTTGTTGAGAACAGTTTTGGGGTTAATATTGCTGATCACTATCATATGGTTCTTATCAGGACGCAATAATCCATCGTACACTGAAGTCATATTAGGACAACCAAGGATGCGAGAACATGTCACTCAAACCAATAATTCAATGATTATTTCTGCAACTAGCAATAATCACGGCTTTACTAACTCATTTCAGTCGAAACGAACTACCTATGTTGCTCTTAGTGATGATCACCATAACGTTAGTAAACTAAGTCCGGAACAAGAAATGACACACCTACATAAACTAGCCAGTGATATTGAACAGAGAGTATTGAATCGAAAAGAAGGCATTCATGTGCTAGTTCTTGCAAGGCTGCGAACAGGATCAACATTTACTAGTAATTATATTGCAATGCAATCTGACTCGCTGTATTTAGGTGAACCGGAAGCAACTTTGTCGTCACATGCTTACGACTTGTTTAATGACAGCGCTTCGTATGTTGAACAGCTCCAAAAGCCGTTCTATACACTTCTCGGCGACTTCTTCGATTGCAATTTTAACAATCATGTACTTTTGTCCCACACGAACTCAACCAGGTGCAAAGGACTAACAAATCAGAGAGGTCGCGTGCATAATGCTACGTTTACCTTCTCATGGATAACTGAAAAATGCAGAAGTAAAAATATGTATATAGTCAAAACAACGCACATGAGTGATATTTCCAAAGGTCTAGATACTTTGAAAAAGTACAATGTTAAAGTCATTCATCTTGTGAGAGATCCCCGGGCAATGATTAATTCAAGAATAAAGTACGAACAAGCACATGCACGGAATCGTTACGAACGCCTGAGAAGAATTGATGAGATGATTAAGCACTATTGCATATGGTTGAAAACAAATGTGGATGTTGTAATCCATGGGCCTGATTGGCTGAAGAAACACTATATGATTATTAGGTATGAGGATATCTGTGGCAGATCTGAGGAAATACTCCCGAAATTGCGTAGTTTTCTTGATTTGCCATCTAATGAAGGTATAATTCCGAGAATATTAAAAAGTTCTGTTGATTCATGGCGCAATACATTAACATTCAATTATACTGCCATTGCCCAAGATAATTGTCCTGATGAGGTATTCAAAATGTTAGGCTACGTCAAACTTAAGAATATCGACCAACAACATGATAGTTCATTTTCTCTAATGACACCATCGATACCACCTATCAACAAATTAACAGTGTTAAATCATGATGGCGTGGTGTAGGAAGTCAAATTCCACTATTACTAGTCACCTTAGAACGCGAATTAATCTTGTAATGCACTCATCATGAAAGGTAAATGCAACAAACATGGTCAAATAGAACCATAATTATGAGCCCGGTGTTTAATCTATAAATAAATCAGCGATAACTTGACTGTGTCATAAAGGACGAGAGGGATAAGACAACACACAATTACTGAAAATTGATAATATATACTATAATCCATTGTCATATTGCTGTTAGAATACAGCTAATTTTACCAGTAATAACAATCAATTTTGCACGTAAACGCAATTTTTCTAGTTCCTAATTGTTTAATTACTAAGACTGACATGATTATTTTTGGTCGCTATTTTGATAAATGACGTAATTCCAGTCGCTTTTATTGTCATGGTCACGACATTGACCTAGTTGTTCTTACATAATGCTGCTCATACAATAATATTTAAAAAATTATAATCAAGCATTGACATAAACAATACAAACTGTCCATTGCCATGCCATGATTACCAGTTCGCAATTATGCATGCCGTAGCCGAAACGGCATTCATTGTTCATTGATTTCGTTTTTTGAAATAAACTGACAATTAGTTAAACAAGACCAACATTATAGTTAAATTAGGGTACGTACCGATTTTCTATGCTTTAAAATGGTGTACGTAAAATTGAGATTTGTGGTTACGTTGAATAACCTGCTATCAAAATAGTTCCTTCTTCAACTGTGTAACTGTTTACTTCATTCACTCACCAAATACACCGATATCCCATGCACCAATGAGAAGTGAACTTAGTCGTCCTTATATTTATATTATCAGTCTAGTTTGATTAAAACCTGGATATAAAGACAAATCACAATAATTACACATCTTGTATTGTACACTTGTGCACAGTATGTAATTATACAAACTAAGACGGTTTTGGAGAACGTTTTTCAGGTCATTAACTCGGTACCTAGAAAGAAAAATGATCTGCATTGATCTTGTTAAAATTTATAAATAAGATAAGACAAACATTCTATAATGATTTGGGAAACAAAGTCTAATATATATGTCTTATCACCTCAACCCCTGCAAACAGAAGTGTGCATGGAATCATGCGCAGAACTGTGTGCATTGCCGTGTGATAACTGTCATAAAGGTGATTGACATGACAGATCATACTTGTTTACAACTGTGGAAGGACAATTTGAATCTACCAGATGTGATTGTGATTTTCATAAGAAAGAATGTTTACAACTTTGGAAGGACAAACTCTAATAGGTTGCTAGTAATTTACATAACAAAATATTTTTATGATCTACTGACTTACCTACGTGAAACAGCTGCTTGCAGGACCACATTCTGATTGCCTCATGTGGAAGCCCAGGTGGTATCGCTGAGTTTGAGCCATTTATGCCTACAAATAAGCTAGACTGAGGAATGTTTGGGTCCGTCATTTCAACTGAGAACCCTGTGTGTTGCTACTGCGATAGTGTGAGACAAGTGATACAGGTTTCAACCATCATTCTGTGATACTTGTATGAACTGCTCTGCGATGTCCTGTTATCAGCGATGCCCTACACAATAACAGCGTTCCTCTGCAAGAAAGACTACTGTATTTCTTCGTTGCGCTGTTGCAGAAGCCATTGACTGTCATCCATTTCTACTTCATGGAATTGTGAGTTATCACCAATGCACACTTCCCTAAACAATCCCATATTTTAGTGACTTATTCATTGTATTTTTCTGTGCTTTATTTCTTGTAATAATTTAGGAAAGTATTAAAGCCAGGAGTTTTAACTTAATATTTTGGTGTATGTGTATTTCATTTCCAGTACCATTTTCTTGTCTAACCAATTCTAACAGTGAAATAACCCCTTGTACAGTGTGATTTCAGCGGGTTCCCCTCTCAATAGCAATAAGTAGGCCTTACACTGTGACAATATACCAATCCGTTATAACTATATTCTACCTATATTAGTCTGAGACAGCGTATTCATTTGCCTATACCATGCTGTTTTGCTCACAATATAAATTCACTACTACCATGAATAGCATGAATACAAAAACTGTGTAAACTAATTTGATATCATATAAGTTTCTGTAGCAAAAGAAAACGTGTTACGGTTTACCGACAAACTATTACTATAAAACATTTCACATGCACTTAGTAAACCTTTATCGTATGAACTAATTATTTTAGGTGTAAAGGAAACCGAAGCTCATATGGGATTGGAGTTTATTATTGCAGCACGTTTCTTTTTGCACTGTTTATAGAATCATCGCAAAATACAAGGCACACTGTTTGTGCATAACGTCCTATATGGTCGTTGCTGAGGCTGTGTGTTCTGCTCAATCGGCAGTATACATTGGAGTGCACTTAATCTGCTTTATTTTTTTTAATTTGCCTAGTATGAGTAACTTTAAAATGATATTTCTCGCTGTTGCGGATCTTGCCGGAAGGTTTGCGACAATGCTTTTGGGAAGGGCATATAGCAGCGTTTAGGCGATTATACCGCTTTGTGTGTTAATAGTTTTGTTTTTGTGTCCATGTGTTATTTTTGTCGCATTTGACTTCATAGTTTCGCCATATACGCGTTGTTCGTAACTATCGTTCTCAGATTCGCTAAATTCTTCCGTAAATGCTATCTTCGAATTTCGATGTGGTCATGTAGTTAATAAGAATGACCTCTTATTATGTCAATGGTGTGGTTGACTAACAACTGATGTCGTCTGTGTCACTTTCTGTGTTTATGTCTGGCGATGTATCGCTATAATAGTTGATTAGGAATATGAATAAATCTCACGTTATTTTGTGAGATCTAATGATATTCTTGTTGCTTCACAACGTTTACAAGATATATAGCACGGATTACTTCAGTAGAAAACGCTGCGTTGCCAGTCTGTTTTGACATAATTTTCCCATGGCACATTCAAAACACAAAATGTTAATGAAAAGAAAAATCTGCCGTTGAAATACTTCTCGAATAATACTAATATATGTATAAAAAGCGGGAGAATGCGTTTCAATCGCGGTGTATGCGCCATGATAGCATCCTTGCATTGAAGCCGATTGCAAATAATTACGGGTTTTACATTTTAGTTAACGATATTCTATGAAATAGTTTTGGAAGCAGAAAATTGTTTTTGCACACATCGATTCTGTTGTAATTTTCAAATTATTCATTTCAATTGAACATTTCATTTTTGTAATGTAATTGGATCGATTAGTTCTGAAAATCAACATGTGTCAATATTTTATACGACACCGTTACAATAATAGTAGTATTCACGCTACACGAAATGCGTGCTAATCTCATATGTTTGTATATCGGATAGATCACTTGCGCTCCCACACAGAAGGGAATAGTGGCTAGTACGGGCTAAGGAACGCGCAAACTTGTTAATAATATGCAAAAATCTTCAGTCATTTTAACTTTGATTACTAAGTACAGTAACTATATAGGAGTATATATATGTAAGTTCTACAGTTATAAAACAATTTCAAAGCAAGTGCAGATTGGAGAATAATAAGTATCACAGAGTCTCATCGCTAGATAGCATGACTATTTGTGGTCGCAGACAGTGGCATTCACAAGACTTTTTTTCATAAACAGTATATTTAAAGAAAAATACTCAAACCTAACAACATAAGTCAGGAGGTATTCTTTCCGAACACATACCCAAATCACGAAATCTACACTTCTACTTCACATATTTTTTCAGATCAGTCCCGTGGAGATAAAAAGTATCGCAGATCTGAAATTTGTATAACGATACGACCTTTATTCATCGAGTTATCGTGATTTGAATTTGACTTTTTCGTTGAGTTGGATCTTGCGTAACGGTCGTTAAATTTAAAATAAAAACTAATTAAAATCTCATTTGCATACGGCTGCCTGCTAGCTGGCTATAACCACAGTGCCTCAACACCCGGCTGGGAAACGCTAATACTTCTTTTGTCTCAATGCGTGTCAAATTGTTGAATCGATATGGCATTCATACGCACAACAATTCACCATGTTGCAACTTTTAAATTGTCCGTTAACAACATCTTTCATAGTAGCACTTTAATGTGTTCAATTATCAGTGTTCACTGATGATATCATTGACTGGCCCTCTAGAGGCGAAATGACGCCAGGCAAAGCGGACTTTTGTCGTCTGCTTCACAGCCCGTTTTATACCCGATATTTAGGGCATTTCGGAGCACATACAAGTTGTTTTTATCGACAGAATTCATTCATAGATCTCAAATTTCATGTACAGAGTGACAAAAGCCAGACCTCTGCTCTCCTTTAATCCACATGATGTGAACGCAAGCCTACTTAACGTAAAATTAGCATACATGAGCCTGCTTGATTCACATCTGCGCATGCGTATACACTTTGTTTTGATTTTTGCTGCAACGCGAGAGATGGTACATTATTTACCGAAATGTGGGAAAACTATGAGGATTTTTTTGATTTCGACAACAGTGAAATCGATTGAAACAATATATTAGAGAATGTTGCTGCTGAATGAATGAAAAAAGGCGACGGCAACGGAGGCATCGACGAAGCCATCCATTTTGTCAGGGCTGCAAAAAGCCTATAGAACGTAGAGTATGTGTTAAAACAAACCCAAAATTAACAAAACGGCCATTAAAACAGCAGTAGGCACTTTTAATATTAATACTAATAAAATAATAGTTCAAGTCGAAAAAGTGTGTTTGTGATGGTTGTTAAGATCGGATACTCTCGCTATAACATCGACTATGGTCGTTCGAATCGCCATCTTTAAATAACGTGAACAAATTTTGTATGCTCTAAATTCACAGTGATTTTCTGAGAAGAATATCGGAATTTCTAAGATATAAATCAACGGTTCTTCAAAATGTTAGTCATCAATATTAAAAAAAGCTTTGAACAGTCGTTTTCTTCGAGCAACACTCGACGACCATCTTGCTTCGAGGGGATATTAGGGAACAATTTAAATATTAAACTACAAATATATGATGATTGTGGTCGGTTTAGATATAGGAACGC